TTGATCATTGAAGCAGTAATTTACCTCAAGAGGTGAAAATAAAGTCACTGCATCTATCTACGAACAGGATCCACTTGACCATTGGATTAGAGTAGGGTTTCCCCTTAGAAGTATTGTGTTAGCTCATCATCTTCTAGGGTACATACCCCTGCCAGTTATTGACAGTTCATCCTTGATTCTTCTTGTGGCATGCAGGGCCACATAATTTGTCAAAAAATGCTAAATTGATGCTTGTTTTGGTGTTATTACATAAAAAAGTGTATGTTGCCATGGCAGCTGAATACATATAAATGTGGTTTAGCTGCTAATCATTTTTCAAATGACTCAGCCCTGGTTGGACTTTAAAGATCCCTTTTGAGAGGAAGTTTTGTAACTCAAGAACACATTCAATTCAGTGACCAAGGCTTTCCCAGTACTTTAAGATCTGAGCCTTTTACGAAGAGAACACATGCAAACTTCAGGTGAATGCATCTCAAAGTTTTTCATGAAGTAGCAATTTAAACCACTCAACCAGTATGACAGGACCCTTTTTCATTACGGAAAATCTTGAGAAAAAAATCAAAACCTTGAAACATGCATGGTTACCTTAGCTTCTCCTTCAGCTGTTTCATCTTTCTGTACTCCTGTTATGGTACTCTTTAACTCCCCGGATGGCATCTTGTCTTTCCAGTTAAGGAAGTTGGAAAATTCATCATAATTTATCTGTCCATCACCATCCACATCACAATAAGCAAACATGGACTCCAACAGCACTGGCTCAATTGGAAGGTTAAAGTGGATGCACACCTCACGCAACTCATTAAGTGAAATTTTTCCAGAGTTGTCCTACAATTTAATATGTATATTGTTGTAACTTTTTATGCTAGCTCAATCTATAAATCAATATGTATATTGTTGTAACTTTTTATGCTAGCTCAATCTACAGGTTTCATGGAAAAGTCAATACTTTCTTAGAAAAACTTAGTTTTTTCCCCTTTTTAATGTGTTTGATTGATTATAACTTGTAATTAAATTGAGGATAAGTTAAGTTACATCCCTTTACATTGTAGCTCCACTCCTGGGGTCATTTGAAATTACAATAGTAGTGACTGCAGTTTCCAAGCCAAACAGTCTTTAGTTAGGGGTATAATAATGTAATATTCAATGCACTTTTATTGGAAAAAATCATCTGAGGGAGACTTATTCTCTTTGATATGGCAACTAAAAGATTATTTGAGATCTTGCACAAGCCATATCTTAACACAATTTTGCTTTTAGTGATTATAAATATTTCTAATAGTGATGATTTATTTATGATTTGAACATGTTAAATCAAAAGCTACACTTCAACTCAACAATCAAGTGAGTCAGTACATGTGGAATGACTAAGTTTAAATTTTATTATTGCTGTCATTTTTGTTTCTCTTTTACATGGATACCCCTTGGGATTAGTTACCTCTCTGTTTGTTTAAAAAATCTTCCTCACCTTGTCATAGTATCCAAATGCAGCTTTCAGGTCATGGAAATTGTGATAGTTTGCCTTCTTCAAATGATGTCTTACAGCCGCAAGCACTCCCCTTTCCCTGTCACGCCCTCTAAGATAATTTCCAGGAACACGCATGTGGATCAGGTCTCCTGCTCCATATTCATCAGGTTTAATCATTACCCCAAAGGCATGATCTGGTGGGACCCTGAGGGTGTCTTTAATTGGATCGTGTACTTGGCCAAGTTGAGGCTGGGTTCTCTCACGGAAATCGTCAACACGTTTTGAGACAATCTTTGTTGCCTTTTCTCTGCACAAAGGGAGATGACTTAGATATGCATGTGTTTAAGGGTTATTACAAAAAATGATTATTTTTATCATTACTTTTGTAAGATTATTGCTGAAGAAATATTTGTAAATTATGCTTAAACTTAATAGAAATTAAATTTTAGGAATAGAAAAACAATATATGTAAAGAAGGTATATGATTATGGCTTAGTATAAGTACAAGGATATAATCGAAATTGATGTACATGAAAAAATTACACACATATGATTGGCTGAAAATGAGTGCATTTTTCATTTAACAACAAATGTAACATGAATAGTGCATGCACGTACTCTGTCAAAATTCTGTGTGTCTTGACTTACTGTGATGCTTTTTTCATGTAAATCATTAACAAGTAAAAACATGATTTCTTGTGTTATTTGGTTTAAATAAGCACTTAGAAATTTTTTGAAGACAACAAATTGCACTCCCCCTGTAGGCTTGGGAAATTTTGTTGTCTTTCAAAATTTACTGGTACTTATTTACACCAAATTGCATTCAAAATCATGTTATTACCTATACATAACTGAAGAAGGTATTCTTTTAAACCAGTTTAGTTAATAGTTAAATGTGTACATGCTCATGTTAATCAAACTTACTGTTGTGTCTCATGAAGCCACTTGAGAGTTTTTCTTACATGGATTCCATCATTGTTATGTGGTGTTTCCACACCAAATTTGCTCTCCTTTGGTATTCTACTCCAGTCATACTTTCTATCAAACATTTCACCTGTGAAAATGAAGGAAATCATCTTCAGGGTGGGGAACTTTACAACTCTACTTGGAGAATTAACCCTATTACTTCCAGAGGTGATTACTGTGTAACTTCTCCTTATAATATCTATTACATTATCCAGCAAATGAGTGACAAGAATATTCAAACTCATCAAGAAAAAGTTGCCATCTTGATCTAACAAGTTTCAAGTCAGTACGTAACGATGAACAAACATCTCTTAACATACCAACATCAAAGTCATTATGGCTGACTTTGTATAGTTCCTTTCCCTCCAATGACTCGGCATTTACTTGGACTGCTGTTTTTGCAGGGCTGACCATTTCTCCAGCACTTCCATCTAAATGAGACAAAAATAATCATATTTTAGTACTTCAAATATTCTGTTTATTGAGAATTTATTGCCAATGTGCAGATCTCAAATTAATATTAGCATAAGAATTCATACATAAAAAATTAATAAAATGATAATAATATAATAAAAGTTAAAATTTTTTTTCCCAACTCGGAGCTAAAAAATTATTATGCTTCCGGGGCAGGAAATTAATGTTTTTGATTGGATAATAATATATTTATAAATTAACATATGATGTATGATATATTGATTGTGATATTAAAATTTAGTACCTTTGATGGTTTTGACTCCATAAGTCACATCAGTTGGTCCAACACCATCAGGCAGACCTGTCTTTTGGTCATGACACCTCCCTGATTGTACAGAATACAGATAACATGAAACTCATGAAAACAGGGAAAACTTATAAAAAATAGACAACAAAAATTAAAATCTGTCATTTAATGATTGTAAGATATTGAAAAATTACCTAGAGGAGCGTTTTTCCTGCTAGCATAAATGCTTTCTTTCTTTTCAAGCATCCGTTGAGAGAAAAGACTTTTCCTTGAAGGATTTACGAGGTGGCCCGCCTGTTGCAGAAATCAGGTAGAGAAAGAAAATAATTGGTTAAGGACGCACTGGATTTTTACTCTCAACGTAAAGCTTTGTGTGTGCTTTGTCTAATGATGAAAAAATCTACTCTGGATAAAGGCTCATGGTTTCATTAACTTCAGAACGAGGGAAAGGAACTTCTAAGCTCATAATTTCAGAGGATTTAGCAAGGAAAAACGTTTTTGTTCAAGCGTGAGTTCTAACAGCTGTTCATTTACATATGAAAGCCGATCTGCAACTAACACTCTGCTCGCTCGAAACAGTTTCTTTCTATCAAACAATGAACCAATACAATTACTTTACGGGAACTACACGATTAAAAGTTACCTTGGGAGAGATAATTAAAACTTTTATATCGTATAGGATATGATACATACGACAAGGGAAGATTTTGTGTTGACTCCATGCGTAATCCTCGAGGCTACGTCTGGATCATTTGCTCTGCCATAAAACACTCTCTCTTTGCCCGCCTCAGGTTGTGTTGTTCCTCTAAACTTTCGAACAGTTTCTGGTCTAGTATCCTTTAAAGGTAATTCGCGATTTGAAACAAATTGTTTTAGTAAAGTTACATTTTTGAAACATGAACTTATATAAAAACTGCAACTTTATCCATGAGTATACGGTTTAACAAATAACACAGTAATGCGTAACATTATTTCGCTTCCAACTTACACGCTGTGGTATTTGGAGGCTACCACCGGCTGTCTCTCCTGAAACATCGAAAAGCTTTCCCGCCTGTAAAAGGATGAAAAGTAAAATTCAGGGAAAATTTAACCCACGAACTTCATAACGACAGACACTCCTTGTCTGTGGCTGGTCTCAATAATCTCATTGATTCTGTTTTGCAACTTTCAGCTCGCCTTCTTTAGAGGATTAGGTTGTTTAGGTAAAAAGACATTTCTTTGATATATCTCCTCGTAAACTTACCGGGATTATTCCGGGATTTCTGTCTATAAATCTACCCGCGTTTGTAAGCATTTCGATCTCCCTGATAGTTTGAATGAGTTCTGTGACGAACAAATGTTTCAAAAGTATTTGAGTAAGGTTATGTTGCGTTCAGCAGTGGTATTTTTCCTTGCTATTATGTTAAAGGATATTACTCCAAACCTGAAGTTCCTCGGACATACGAAGCTTTTAAAACCACAATCAAAAAGTAAAGTAAATAAAAACTTCCTTAGTTTTTCTTCGCGTCTTGGTCTCTTAGCAACCCAAAACGCGATCAAGGTCAACAACGCTTCCGGTTAATGTTATTTCCGGTCTCAACGACGATATGAAGTACAGTCCTTGTTGACCTTATTGAACATCTAAATACACAAAGTTCATTTCATCACGAAAATGAATATTTTTCCAATGAATTTTACGTCTCTTTTCTCGGAATCTTCGGCAAAACTTCAAATAATGGCCGTTCCAATCTCCCAAGGAAAGTCAATCTTGACCATCAAACCCTCTTTAGACTGGCGCAGGTGAAGCGTGACCGTGAGTGACTTTGGGTCCTCCGTGAGAGGACTGGTTTCAAATCTGGAGCAGCCGGTGCTGTTACCGTTTCAAAGTCGAAGAGGTGAAATTTTGTTTTGTCACAACTAGAGGAAATTGCTATTATAATGGCAAGGGTACCGTTCTATCGCCTTAAAAATGGTCTGGAAATTCGTAGAATTTTAAACGGCATGTGGCAAGTTTCTGGTAGTCATGGACCGATTAATCCAAACAAGGCCTCTCGAGAGATGTTCAAGTATTTTGATGCGGGTTTGACAACTTTTGATATGGCTGATATATATGGGCCTGCTGAGGACATCTTTGGCGATTTTCTAGAGCATTTAAAAGCTGAACGAGGAGAGGAATCTGCCGGAAAAGTGCAAGGTAAGCGTTCGGCTTGTGGATTGGTAGGATATACATTCAATTTGTACGCCTTGTAATGAAACAGTGGGGACATCGCGTTCCATGACCATTAGCCGAATACACCTCAAAAGCTTCCTGTGATGATGCTTTAATTGTCACTGAAATCGAATTCTAGCTTTCGAGAAGTTAACAATTCATAAATGCCTGAATTCAATTTAAAATTTTGATTTTCTTTGGTTTTCCTCAACTAGAACTAACGATATTTTAGACTTGTTCTGTAGTGGTTACTCACGGTTGTGGATGACACATTATGAAAGTGAAATTTTTTGCACCTTTTTCTCTTAAATTGTTTCAAGCATTGACATCGTGAATTACCCTTGCAGATGCTCGTAAGAAGGGCAATGGCTGAAACTTATAACGTTTACCAAACACAACTTTTTCCAGGTGAACAGAATGTAGAGGAATGATTGGATATCGTCTTGAACAGGCCCGAGGCTTTAAGTCCTTCGTGGCTCACACCCATAACCCCTCCCTTTCCAAGATAACACTATTAATTCTTTGCACTGTCCTCCATTTCCTATGATGTTAACGTTGAGAATTTTTTTCTGAATCAAACTGTATCTCCTAATTAAAGTATTTTTTCTTCCTATTAGTACTCTTCTACCTGAAATGTATTGATACTGTAAAAGGAACTTTTTTTTTGGTCACTCTAAGGAGTGAAAGGGTTAGATGGCCCCTTCTCCGGCTGGGATGTAGGATCATAGTTGCCAAAATTCCGGCATATTTGAGCCAAACAAAATTTAACCCTTCCCAGGCTTGGAAAGATTTTCCCTCCTAGCTTATTAATTGATTTTCAATTTAGGAAATCCAACTATCTTTGTTAATGTAATCAATAGCACTAACAAAATGGGTGCCACAGCCAGGACCAGTCACAAGAGAGATAACCAAAGGACGTGTTCGCCTCGCCATGAAAAGAATGGGTGTTGACAAGCTTGATATGCTACAGTTCCACTGGTGGGATTACTCTGACAATAGATACCTTGATGCACTGACTTACCTCAATGAACTGCAAGTTGAAGGTCTCATTGGAGAGATTGCATTAACCAATTTTGACACCCAACACCTGATGGAAATCTTAAAAAGGGGAATCTCCATCTCAACCAATCAAGTACAATATTCTATCATTGACCGTCGCCCTGAGGTGAAAATGGTCGAACTTTGTCAGGCACATGGGATAAAGCTTTTAGCTTATGGCACATTAGGTGGTGGATTGATATCTGATCGATATCTGAACCAAAAAGAGCCAGTTCGAAGATCTGATCTCCAAACAGCTTCTCTTGCAAAGTATAAGCACATGATTGATGCATGGGGGAGTTGGGAGCTGTTTCAAGAACTCTTATCAAATTTGTCTGATGTTGCACAGGTTCATAACTGCACCATAGCTAATGTTGCTTGTCGTTATATTTTAGACAAGCCAGAAGTTGCTGGCATCATAATTGGCTGTAGGTTTGGTGTGGCAGGAGCTGAGCATATCGAGGAAAATTTAAAACTTCTTGACTTGGAACTCACTCCAGAGGATATCCAGAAAATTGAACAAACTCTTAGTAAAGGAAATGACTTGTTTGAGACTACTGGTGACTGTGGAGATGAGTACAGATAGTATGGGTCTATGTGTGTTTTTCCTAACAAGGTAGGATACAGAATTGTCATTACTTTGTGATCAGCAAGAGAGTGATGATTGTAATGATTTTGAAGTCAAAATAGTTTTAAGCAATTATCTTTGGGACAATTTTTAAGAGATTCACTCTTTCCTATATGTCAGTGTTGGTAACAAGTAAACTAGATGTCATGAATACAGTTTAATATTAAGAGGGAAGCATGGTGTATCAACAAAATTTTAAAAAGTTACCTGTGGAGTGTGATGAAGTGGTGTCACTTTTAGTTGTAAACATGTTGTTAGTAGTCCCATTTCAAATGAAAACATGTACATGCCTCACTAAGTTCCATTAAACAATGTTTGACCCTTGTAACAGCACAAGCATTTTCATTTCAACTAAAAAAATATTACTCATTTACAGAGCAGCAGCAGCAGTAGTGGTAAAAGTAGTGGTTGTAGTTGTTGTTTTTTTAAGTAGTAGTAGGTTGAAACTAAAAAGGTAAAGAGTTGAATTAACTAATTAAGATAGAAAAGTACAAACACAAAATGAACAGAAATGGAACAAAATTGGAAAAATACTTACATTGATAATGCCTAATATATTACTGCAAAATCGAATACCTTGAAGGTTTCCAAACAGAGAACTGTGCCAAGCATGACTTAAAGGTAAACTGACTTTAAAAAAGTGATCATGCATTAAAGAAACTGGCTTTAAATACAAGAGGACCATGAAATAACCTGCAGTATGAAAAGTTATGAAAAGGTGTAACTGACAAACCTCAACAAACCTAACGACCCTCAACAAAAATCACCAAGAAGGAGGTATGAAAAACTAAAGGACACAATAAATAAATATGAATTACATAAAAAGTAATTAGCAATTGCCTAGATCTTACAGCCATTATTTTCATGCTACTATTTAAGATCTTACCTTTAATTTTTGTGAAGATAAAATCCTTAGTAAATCTCCACTAGATAATGAAATGAAATACAATAGTCATGCAATTATGCTTTTTAATACTGTTGGTTTGGATACCTCTTACCAATCAAGTTGAGGTCTATACTGTAAGATACAGACCCGGACCCAGATGTCCACTCCACTTGCAATAAATACCCATTATTGGCCAGTATACATTGCATGCCTCTGATTTTGTCCTGGTTTCACAAGAGCGAGGCTTGGTTTGTTTTCTATAAGCTTGTGGAGTAGTCACCATCGAGTTAATGGCCACTGATGGCCAATTCTGTGTGCAATGCATACTGATCAAAATGGGTCTTTAAATGTCCCAATTGCGCAGGTGAGAAAACTTTTTCCATTACTTAGAGATGGAGAAAATGAGATTAGTAAGCTATACAATATCTTTGGGTTCATAGAGAAGGAGAGGATCTCAATTCAAACAAACTTTTGAATTTAGCAGGCTGTACAGTAAAATACAGCCCACTAAATTGACCAATCAAAGTGCATGTATCAACTGAGAAATGTAATAAAGGTAAAGTAAAGGTTGCTTTTCATGGGATAAACCATAAGTTATTAAATATTAGTGAAACAAACATTTACTAATTTTAGAATTCAAATAGCGCACTTTATTTTCGGTAAACTGTTCATCATTCATGGAAATCTTCAAGCACATGATCAAGTGCACACCACTAAAAAGCTCCAAATTTAAAATTGAGTGTTTCCAGACCTTCTACTTATGGTTTACTTAAATAAGTTGTAAATAAATTTTCATGCAGTCTATACCTGAGGATAACCTCTGTGCAAAATTACAGACCTCCTAAATAGTGGTGCAAAATGAAGGGAATAAAAAATTATTACAAAAATAACAAAAAGTTTATTTTCATTAGAGTGACCTGTAACATGTCTCACAGGAACTGACTTTCAAGCACTTTGGCTACAAACACTCACCTCTCTACAAGACTGGGTTTTGTTGTGGCATATGATTCTACTGACATCCCTTGCTGCTATTGTTAAAACATATAATCTTTGTTTCCCCCTAGTCAGTTTAGGTAATGAGCAAAATTGGATAACCCAAAGAAACTAGATATTGAGAAGAACTGGGCCAGGGGAGTAGATTGATCCAGGAAAACCTGAGAGGCATGCAGCTTCTTTCTTTTTGCAAAATGCAACAATGAAAACTGAAACATAAATGCACAAACTCAAGCAATATTAGTTACAATTATAGAGTTCATTTTGACACCATACTCATGTTATGAATGTTTCTCAATGCTTACTGAATTAAGTTTATGTCTTTTTTCATTCCAGGAATATATAAATCGATATGCCACCTTCTGGTTGGTTAGTGATTAAAAGTTATTAATATACAGACTTCAACTGACTTTAAGTACAAATGAATTTTAAGGTTTTCTTAAAACCTTTTTCAGCATTGGAAATTTTCTGAGAAATGTTTCATCCTCCAGCTGCAAATTTTTGTTTGCTTCTTTATTTATTGGTGGTGCTTATGATTTATTTTTCATTTCATTTTTCAGAATTTTTGTACCTGAACTTGTTCAATATTAGTTAATTATTAAATATATTAAATCTTAATACAGCAATAAATTTCTTGGCAACAATATGTCTACTTGTAAGTTAGCAATTTAGTTATTTAATGCTAATGGAAACAGTCTCCTGTTAGTCTAGTAGGAGACTTAATTGGAGAAATTAGTTCATTACAAAATATATTTTGAGTCTATAGACCTCTGCAAAATTTACATTGAGTAGTTTTAGTAGTATTGAGACAATTTTAACTGTTTAGCGTAAATATGTATAATAGTCAACTGTGGAGATGTAAGGAAAGTTATGAAAGCTGATAGAATTTTGTTGAAATTCTATTCTCAGACAAACGGTGAATTTTGCAGGTTTTGATGTTGATTGGATTTTTTGAGAAATCATGTGCATGTGGCAGATGCCAGAACTTTAGAATTACTGTTGAAAGGATATCAAAACTAAATTGATCAACTTGTATTTATACACTGTACAATGTCAATAGCTCCTCGTTAACCCATGCAGAGGTTTTAGGGAACCAAAGTAGAGCAAGGATTGAATGATTAACAACTGTCTATCACTGGTTTGGAATCAAATAAAGGTTGGATGGCATAGATTAATAATTTGAAGTATTTTCTGGGACAGGACACCATGGTTTGATGCTCTTTTGTTGCCAAGAGTATACTACATGCATGTAGAAATCGAAGCAACTAGTATTGGATAGGACAAAATATTCTATACAACATCTTGAAGTCTCCTCATTTGTCAAAAGCTATCAGTGTATTTCTTTCTGTTATGAATTGGTATTCACAAAATAATGTGATTTGCTGTCAAGTAAGGTGTTGGGTGTTAAATTACAATAAGCAAAGGGTCTACTTTTCCATTATATGGAGATGCAAGAGTCTTATATTAAAAAGGATCTGTAGATTTTGTATGACAACAATCTTGTTTTGTTGTGTGTGTGTTTGTTTGATGGTGAGCTCAGAACATTTATTGAACCACTTCAAAGTGTTAACCATTAGTCTGATACGATTTTTTTATTAAAGTGACAATTTTTTTTTGCAGAGTTTGAGCTTAAAAATGTTATATAACTTATTTGGTAAGCCATTTACAAAAGTAGACAATTATTCATGGATCATTTAACAAAGAACAAAAAGTGTAAGAGTGCTGTTTGTTTACCAGGATTACTTTAAATTTTACCTACGTGACCTTCTGCACAAAAATATAGATTGTTTGTGAAGATAAGTGTGAGACAATTATTTGGAAGGACAATAACTTGCTCATGAATAAATTGCCTCTACGTGACTTTCAACAAAACACTGTAAACAATGTTTGTGAAAGTAGATGCAAGAACATTTGTGACCATAATAAAATTCCTCAGGGAACACATGCAGTTTCTAAGCCTACTTTGCAAATGAGTTTTGTATTTTTAGAAAGGAAAAAAAAAATAAGGATTAGCACTGGAAGCAAAATAAGGGAAAAAAAAAATACTAATCTGGGTTAAGGGCTAATATTTTAAAAACCTTATCTAATTTAAAATTAGCTTTGATTTAGATCCTGTAGAATGATGCTTTTAAAATTGCCTCACAATATTTTTAGAAAGGAAAAAAATTGGGATTAGTGCCAGAAGCAATAAAATTTAAAAAAAGGAATTACTAATCTGGGTTTGGGCCAATATTCATAAACCCCATCTAAATTTAAATGAGCTTTGATTAAGATCCTGGAGATGCTTTTTGAATTGCAACCTGGACTGAATGCCTTTGATTATGTATGTACATGACATTATTCAGGAATATTTGTTTGTTCCAGCTGTGAAATGCTACAAGCCATTTAACAGATTAGATGAAATAAATAAAATTTTAAAAACCTGCTCTTACTATTTCTTGACACATAACCTGTTTAGCTTGTCTTAATTGTTTGAAATAATAACTGCTTATTTTTGGGAAGTAATTTTTTTATTATTTCAGCCAATTGGTTGTTCACTTGAAACTTACCATGCACAAAGTGAGGTAACTTATGCAGCTTGTTTAATTTTTAAAAAGAAAACTGATTTTTTTTGGTTATTCAGGAGTAACCTAGGTTTATTTCAACAACAGTTGCTGCAAAAGTATTTATTTAGCATTTGGGTAAAAGGACTTTACCATTGTTTCTAATCTTTGTGAAATGATGTTTTTTGCATCTGTTTTCCAGAAATGTTTGCCCAGGTGTATGAAACCAATCATAGAGACCTTCACAGATATTGTTTTTGACAGTTTAAGCATGATGTCATGTCACACCAGGCTTGTGGACAACAATTAGCAGTATATATTACCTGAGACACATTAAAAAAAAAATGCCACAAGAGTTCTAGAATTAATGGCAACAAAACTTTGGCTTACACAGAAGGCTTAAGTTGCCAAAAAGTATGAACTTTTTACTAAATATCTGTTGGCCTAATTGCTTTCTTTAGGGTATTGATGAGGGTGTTTTTGTGTTGCATATAATTTGGTTAGTTTTAAATGTAGTTGCTTGTTTTCTGTTGTCCTTTATGTTTCTATGATAAACAGCTATCTTCAGGGATAAATTTTCATTATTTCAGAACCACTCAAGGCTGCTAAAATTAATGTCAGTCATAACTGTTGAATTTCTTGAGAAAAGCCCCTCAAAAGCTGTCAGTGACGCATAGCACTGTAAACACAATTAAATGTTAAATTCTCATAACTGGTTGGCATATATTTTGGTTTTGGGTTGTGTTGATAAATTTTATCTGATTCAAAACAACTTTACTCAAAGTGTATAAGTTTTCTATGCTTGACATTGTACCAACATTAAAGGGTTAGCAGCCAGGAAGAATGTAAAGGAATAAGTGTCAAATTAACCACTTCAGATGAATGTTAATCTTAATTTTTTTTGACATCCAAAATAGGTTTTGTTATTCAATTCTGTAGCTCCACAAACTGATTTACTGAATAGGGCTTGGTTTACGACTGAGAAAAAATTAATTGATGTTTTTATTGGGAATAAATGAAAATCGTACATGTGAACTGCAGGTTAATAGAAAGAATATAAAAGCGATCTTTGCGATAGTAAACTCTACTTAGCTCTAGTTGCATTTTTGAGCAATAACACATGTACCTCATTTGATTTGTATCTCTCTTTCTGATTAAATGCAAAGTTAAACCTTTTGATGAAAAGATGACACGAAATGTTTTTGTTCTTAAAGGAGCAAGCTTTGACCTTCATTTAGCATTCCATCATGTTTGCATTTTTTTTAAATTCTTAACATCAGATACTAACAGCAGTCTATTTTAACACAGCAATAGCTGCACCAAGAATTTACCACTTAAATTTCATTGCAACAAATAAGTTTATTGTCCAGTGGACAAAAGAGCACTTTACCAGAACAGCTGCTCTGATGTAATTATCCATTCAAAAATATTTTTCTTTCTTCTAATCTTAAAATTCAAAGTGCAGTGACCTCTTACTGCCCACACCAAATGCTGAAATGTGAGGGGCTTGATCAATATTTTTCATGTATGATGACTGAAAAATTTTGTGTGTTGTCCTTTCAACAGCATTGCTCAACTTCTGTCATGAACAGAATGTTATTCACAAGTTAACTCAACAAGAGGACTAATGTAAATATTTTTCGTTATGGCACATGCTGCAGTAAGTTTGTTTGACAAGACAGCCTAAAAGTTCGGCAAAGTGGTTAAAATGTTTCTGTATAGCTTTAATTTAAAATAAAATATTTTACCAAAATAACATGGTTTTCTGACATTGATTTCAAGATACTGGCTGATTTGCCAAGCAAATACACATAACATATTTGGGAGGTTATTCACAAGTAATGTCAACAGCAGGAGTTGGGTTTACTCTAGATAAGATGCTCAAAAGAATATCTGAAGTCACAAATGAACCTCTCTTGAGCTCTGAAACCAATGCAATAATATGACTGGGATGCAGTCAAGTAAAGGCTTCTGTTGATCGAGTTCTGAAGAAAGTTAAATTGAGTTCATCAAAGTGTTCATATGCTCATGGTTGTTTGTTTTTTTTTTCTTTAATATAAGAAATGGTAGTGCATGACTGTATTCAGGCCAAAAGTTCTCTCCTTGTTAGCACTTCAGGGAATGTTTAGAGAAAAGCATGGAGAATATGCATACTGATATTAGGGTGTAAAGGGTTGAACCCTTTCACTCCTAAGGATAACCAAGACATATTTTTTTCCTTAAAGTATTAATACTCTAAAAATATCAAGTTGCCAAGTGATGTGAATAAAGAAAAATATAAATTAGAGGATTATTGGTTGATCCAATACCAAATTCTCCAAAGTAACATCATAGGACTTTTAGAGCAGACAGTAATGAGGATTTTTAATGAGATCTTGGAAGGGAAAGAGTTAATGAATGAATACTCAAAAGCCAATATTTTCAGGTCATGAGGGGTAAGGGTATTTGTAAACTCTCATTACCTGTTTGCAAGATAATGTAGTGTGAGGAGAGTTAATGAGTCAATCACTTGTAGGAGTGAAAGCTAGTTAAATAATCTTGAATGAAACCCAACTTCTCGGGACAGATTTTAATTTCTTGTCCTGGGTATCCAAGAATTCTTTCATAACAGAACACTTTGAGAATTATATGTTGATAGCTACTCAGTCATAGAGTTGTTTTTCCTTACCCTTGAATGGAAGCAGCTTTAATTCTACTCTCCAGTTATTTTAAATTTACAGTCATTGTAAGTTATAAATTTGTACACCATTAAAATCTTGACCAAGACAAGAAGGATAACATAGTGAAATACCAGTTTTTCTGAGGTATATAGAAAGCAAGCTTGTCACTCAACAATTTGAATTCAATTTCAAATGTTTAAAATGTCTATTTGCCAAATCCAGACAGAATTGTAAAAAGTAAGCCTCTAATCTTTTTTGTCTATGCATAATCAATTTCTGTATTTTTAATAGTTCATTTTGTGTTTGCATAATGCCTCCATGTTTGCTTCTGGATTAAGTTTACCCATACATATTTAAGTAAGATTGAATTTTTTTTTTTTTTTACTGTATTGTAATTTTGGAAATAACAATGCAGTTTGAAAATAATGTATTCAGACCAGGTAACTCATAGATAATTAAACTAATAGGCATTAAGATGGTGTATTTTGATAAAAGGTTTTTTACATCAAAGTTTATGCTCCATGCTTTTGAAATGTACAATTGACTGTAATGGTTTTCAGACAAGTTTGTTTGAAACACAGACCTAATTATGGATGCACAGGAAATGAAAGTTTACAAATTGTGGCATGATGATGCCTACACTAATGTAACACAAGTTGGGATTCAGCTCATTCACAGGATGTCAATATTTGACCATCAGATAGCCAATCAACTTCAGTCAATATACCTCAAAACATGCCCATGGTTAAACAATACATTTATCACTTTTTCACTCCAAAGAAAGCATTCAAAGGTATCTCATTCAATAAATTTCCACAAAGATGAACTTTGTGGTTTAGCAGAGCCAATCCTGTTCTCTACTGATTGATTGAATGCTTGATCTTTAAATTTATTTTACATGGATAGTTTAAATGAAATGTAAACATGTCTGGGTTTTCTGGCTTTTTTGATAGCTTCTCTTATTTAGTAACTTGTGTATGTTTGAATTACAATAACAAGAATTACCTAGGTTTTAGAATATTTTGGCCATGCATCTGAGCAGTATCAGCATAAATTTACCCTACCAAACAAACTGCTACAGATAAAAACCTATTAATAACTTGCTTTGGGTCAAGTTACTCAAGAGCAGCATGTTTACATATCTAAGCCCTTGCAGAAATAAAATCCAATTCATTATTTTTAAGTTTCCTGACCGACTTCAATTAACTATTTCCATCGTTCATTAGCTCACTTGCATCTGCAGAATGCAGGTCATCAACATATCAGTGGGGCCTTTCTTAGTGGTTATAATGATGATTTTCACCATTTCCTGGAGAGATTGAACTTGCAGACAGACTCTTGCAAGTTGATCAAACAAATGGCAAACTCAGAGGGATGCCAAAGCCTGTAAATTGAATTCCATTAGGTAATTAGAGACAAAAGAATTGGTATACCATGACAGCATTTAAAGGTCGTGGGAAATGTTAATAATCTGATCGCAACATGTAAAACTTTGCATCAAGAATACTCTGCTGATGACACTTTCCAGAAGCCTTGCTAAGTCTATTTCCAGCAGAGTGATAGGTTGTGTAGTAGCATTAGCTGAGTAAGTTATCTTTGCCCCCTCTTCTTGCGCAGGTTGGAGGCAATTTGGTGACAGTAATTTGCCCTCTATGTGTGGGAATCCACAGTCCCTAGGGAAACACTCATTTTGAAACGATTAATCCATACAAAAGATTTCTGCTTGTGAGCATACAGTCTTCAACCAATATATTTGGGTGAATACATTACATCCGTTCCACCCAAGAAATGAAAGAGAATTTCAATCAATTACATACAGCACAGAATGCTAATGGTCCCAACAATTTTTTGTTTTCCTAAAATGATTTTAATAAAATGTTGGAAGAATTCTAAGGTGAGAACATTTAAAGAATAAATATTCTTGTTGTCGCGCTGCCAATAGCTAGCAGAATCATCCTAGAAAATGACACAAATGACCCTTGCATAAAAGTACGAACACCAAATTTTCATTCACCGTAAAGTGCAAGCTTTTGTTTGGAAGCAATTTCGAGGAAATTCTAAACAACCTACGCATAATGAACACACTGTCAGGGAAGGAAGGAATTTCTTACAGCCTAATAATAACATTTGCCTTTCCTAATTGCACGGAAAAGCGAAAAAGGCTTATGACAACTTTAAAGCTCTGTCAAATTTTCTTTAGGCACCGATGAAATCAGCGCAAGAAACTCATTAGCATTCGCCGAAAAACGATTTCCTACAGCAAAATTAAGTTGGGTACTCGTTTAAAATATCACACACTGAGGGTTTTCCTTCACTTTGCACAGTTATCATAAAAGATAACAGGGTTTTCTGAGAAATAAAAGGGATAACTTCCTAAGGATGAAGAAAAATTAAATGTCTCCTCACAAGTTATTGTTGTTGAAAATACACATGACTGACATGGCGCAGTCGCGAGTAAGAATCGTAAAAAGACATTACTTTAATCTTTAAAGTTTAATGATTACGTCCAGCTGCCCACATTTTAAATTAGTTACTTTGTCTCGTTCGATGGACAGAAAGGACGCGGCGCGAAAAACGTGCTCAGTTCCAAAAAATAGTCATTGCCAAAAAAATTATCGACAAAATTGATATCATTTCCAATTTGATCTCAGTAGCAGGCGTTTTTTTTTTTTACCTTTTCTTTTCAGGGAAAATAATCGAACTACGTTTGTGGTTTCATAGAATTGATAAATAAATCGAACCCCTTTGTCCAAGCGAACTCTTTTGACGACACCACAAGGCCAATTTCTCGTCGAAGTCTCGTCGGCTCAGAAGGCAAGTTTCCACACTATCGGTCAAAGTAAATAAGTATGTAAATTTGATAAACACTTTCTGCTGTCAGAAAAGTGTGAAACCCTTTAAGCCAGCAATTAATGCTCTGCTATTATTAAAATGTACTAGCTCTAAATTAAATTCGTTGCCAGAACAAGACAGCAAGGTCTGATATTGTAAAAGCCGGATTACTTTTCGCATTTAAATGTAGTGATACGCCAAAGCAGCTAAAGCCAATACGACAACGAAATGTCACATAAACAAAGATTACACTGCAACACATATCCAAGCTTATCTACGCCGTCAGGAAAGAGAAAGCGCTTTTCTTTCAATAAACAATGTATAAGAGAATGATTTTAGACGTAAAAACATCTGGCTCGACTTGTAACAATAAAAATGAAATTGGTCTCGCCACTAGCTCTGAAAACACACTTGACAAAATCAAGAACGTTTCCTTTCAATTTTAATATATCTGTACACTAATTTCTTCTGTCTTCGTGATACAGAGATGCCAAAATTATATATTTACATCATAGACTTAGTCCGTTTAAGTTCTTATTAGTTTTTTCCTTTTTCTTTTGATGTTTTTAACTTGAATTAAGCCTGCATAGTACAACATGAACGAATGACTAATTTTGTTTACATCGGTATTACATACCCCGAGGCTTATTCTTATTTTGCGCGAACGAATATTTCCTAGTGTTTTTATTTTCTCTTGAAGCGACGTATTTTGTGAAGTTCCTGTGTTGAATTTCATTTTGAGAATAATACATGGTCTGTCCCTGAATTGAATAATATTCCCATCGGAGTTGCCTCTATTCACTGCTTCATTTCCGCAGGATTTTATGCTAATACATGTTCTATCCGCTTCTTTTGGCGCCCAAATGAGTAAACTTATTCCATAATACTACTCCTCTGGATGACTTTCACTGTCACATTTATCCCAACTCGCTTTACTATCGCTTCTTTGCGTAAGACTTGTAAAGAATTCACATGTTTCCGTGAATATCTCGTACCAACTTGCGGTACCTACTTCGCACACCTGGGGTTTTGCTCTTGAATTATTGATGGCAATTCAAATTCGTTTGAATGAAGACCCGAGCGCGATGAATTCTAAATTGCAAAATTCATTTTTCCTAGAATAATTTTCTACCTATCTTTCCTATGCGTGTCTCTTCATGTGTAGAGCTAGATGGTCTGATCGTGAAAAGCACCTATCACAATGAACACATTTGAACGGTTTGGCTCCAGTATGTTTTCTGTAATGGCGAGTAAGCTCATCCGAGCGAGCGAAACGCCAGTTGCATCCATCCCAAGAACAACGGTACGGCTTTTCTCCCGTATGAGTACGTTGATGAGCTTTCAGATGCGAGCTCTTCGTGTAAACTTTACGACAACCACTAAATTGACATCGATGCACTCGCCGTTTGCTCTCTGAGTCTTTGTCCTTGGGGCTGTTTGCTCTAGCACCTCCATTTCCTCCCCTCGCGCGAGGGGAGCGCGCACTTGGCCTGCCTGTTCTCTGCTGGTTCGGGCTATTAAACACAACGACAGGCGACTCAGGTGAGCTCGGTGGAGTTAGCGGTAAAACAGGCTTAGGAATTTTGCTAATCTCTTCGCAGCCCGTCGGGGTCGGTAATTTGATCTTTAGAGGTTTTACTGGGAGCTCCATAGCTGGTTTAGTTTCCGTTGGAGTTTCTGGAAGAACTGTTGGCACTGAGGGAAAGGTAGCTATTGAAGTGAAATCTATCGGTTTGATATCCCAGTCGTCGCCAAATGGAAAATTTGACTCGTCAAAAGGTTGAAGTAAAAATTCGTTCCAGGGAGCTGGATTCCCTAAGTTGGAGTCTTTACTATCCAAAGATGATGGTTCAGGGCAAAGATAACGATCCATTTCTAGTCTTGTCTGGAAAGAAAAATTAAGAAAAATACTATACTATGCAGCGATGAAAACGAGCGCGAAAACGAAATACACAAGGAATACAGAATGAGGTCAACATGGCTGATTTACAAAGCACGGACGAATTCGCGCGAAGCGCAAGAGGCTGCATGCTTCCTAAGTGTCCAAAGCCATCGTTAAAGGCCACATGTTACGCTTGCTAAGCTACAAGGACAAAACCATTAGAAAAATTCACGTACACGTACCTGTGCCCAATCGTCTTCAAGCGATGGAAGCGAGTAGAAAAAGCCTGTGTCATGAACAGTTTGTAGTTCGTGGAAAATCGAGGAGCACGGAAGAGCAGATTGCAGATCCATGTCGCAGGAGAGTAGCGTAGAAGTGAGTAGCTGAGCGTCAGTGAAGCGATGCTACGGGTGAGTGAGACGAAGGAATGTCAGAATAACACAACACACAACACACTATTGCTTCTGTCATACACACTCGCCGACGCTCAAATCAATCGCAAAAAATAAAGCAGGGTACCCAAGGGTGCTTTGCAAGTGCCGAGTGTAAAATTATCGATTCGCCATGTGCGTTACGATTGGCAGATATTCTCAAATCCACCAATCAAAACACTGTCTTTGTCAGCACTCGCAATTAGTCAAAACAAAAGATCCTATCTGACCAATGACCGTCATTATTTTAACAGAAGCCTTATAAGGTTGCGACTATTTTCGGCCATGATATAAAAATCAGCTGTAACGAACAAACAATCGTATTGAAAAAGTCCTTACAATTTTCTCTGTAAAATTCGTCGCTAGATCCTCAAGTCTTTTGGCTCGAAACCTTCTTTTTTAATGCAACCTAATATCAAATGTTTTACCCTAGTTCTTCGACTCGTTTGGAGCGTATGAGGCGAACTGTGGTTGTATGACAAACGTTATCGTGTTTATGATGTCACTTCTCTGAAGGTGAACTGATCTTCAATGTTTTGTTGCGTACGTGCTGAAAATGCATAGGTACACGCTCTAAAATAAGCGAAATCAGGATATTGCGTGAAAAGGAATTAAACGTCATGTTTTCTTTTGAAATTGGTCCAGAATAACGCGTTGTGTTTCATGGGAGTGCGTGACTTTTCAATTTAGTGTTGTTTACGACTTTCTGCGGCGGAATAAAAATAGCAAAGTCTAGAATGAAAACAAATATGTCAAAATCGTTAAAATAAACCGATCTGATGAAAATCTTTTATTTCAACGTCGAAGAAAATCAGAGAGTTGGTGAAAATATTCAGTCAGTGTTGGTGAGTTTCGGTTTCGAGTTATTTCGCTGAAAACATACCTGTAGGCAGTGAAGCGTTTGTTTTAACAGCAATATTTAGCTTGTGGCCGTATTTGTCACATTCATTCAGCATGTTCGGGAGATGCAAATGAAATAGTACTCATTGTTCTTTCTCATACTATCTCTGAAATTAAAATTTATATGAAAGATAACAAATTATCTTTTGTTTTTATCGCCAGTGAACCAAGCAAATTCCTTTCTTAGCGAAGCGACCAACTCTTGCATCTATAATTATCTTGTCGGTCAATCGAATGCCAAAACAATACGTGCGGAAAATCTGAAAAGCGATATTTCTGGAAACGATTAAACGATATTGACGGGTTATTCGCACCCTTGAATCGTCTCGCTTGATCGGTTGAGGCATTCAGGCGAGCAGAACATGCTTTCAGTGTGTTTAGAGTAAAATACATCCTTCGCAGGAAGTTTATGTATGTTACATTGTTTGAGTTTGCTCTTGAGAGGGCGAAATGCCTACTTGTAGACACATAACAGTTTCCAAAAGTAAACATTGATTAAATATTGTGAAACAAGGCCTATGCCAAAAATTTCAAGATCGTCTTCAACATCGGTGTATGTGGAATAGCGACTTTGTTCTACCGTAATATCAGCTGTTTTGAGTTTGCCACGAAAGATTATTTCTAACTTCCGCTTTTGTGTGGATGTCTCGAAGAGTCTGCTTGTATGCTGTCAAGTTTTAAATTTAAAGGTCTTCAAAGTAGTGATTGCAATACAGTCAACATTAATTAATCTTGAAAATTAAACATTTCCTCCACGCGTTTGTTTGTATAGATTAATTTCGTGACTGGATAGAAGAATAAAATCAGAGTTAGTAATAATGTGTGAAAGTGAAACCTGCCACACTGCAAAGAATTGTCAGACAAACATACCGTTGATAAATTCTACCAAATTATGTCGACAAAAGTAAATTTAATCAACTTCACTACAGAGATCTGTCCAAAGTGAATTCTTGTAACTCAAGAAATCCCAGGAGTATTTCGGACATGTTTTGCAGTTCTGCTTGACCCAAGCCACTCGGAAGTCGGTAGCCTTAAAGTCTGGAGCAAATGTTATATAACCAAAAGTACACGAGATAGCTAAATTGAGATCAAATGATCCTTGACGAAAAATGCTCAGGTTTCTTGTGCTTGAAATCTCTAGTACTAACAAAGAGCTCCGATTACATAGACACTGTCATTATGGAATTGAATTCGAGGAAAAGTATCTGCCATCAATGACATATATTTGGCTTTGCATATATTGTCTGATTTTTAGTATGAAAATTCTGTGTTTACCTCTCTCTGTGTCCTTTCGCTTTCACACTCAAATGGCTTTCCGATGGCGTGGGAAGAACTGTAGAGATTAAGTACTTTGAGCAATTTGCCCGGAGGGTCTTGTTTTATTTTATTATTAAGATACAGAAAATAAGCAAAAGATTACGAGAAACGCGAATTTTTCAAAGAAATTTATGGATTCATAAAACTTTGTTCACGAATCTTTGTATAATTTTATCATGCGAGTGTATTAACGCTTTTCACAGGAGAAGATTGGGAGAATTGAAGGTTTGACCTCAAGTTTTGATGATGTCTTCCGGAAATACCAGAGCTATGAATCATCTTTCTTTAATTTTCCTAAGCTTTGACTTGCACGCACTGTAATGTTGACACATGCTGTTAAGGATTTTATTAAAGATTAAGATTGAAGCTCTGATTGGTTGATTGGTTGACACAGTACTCAGCAGCATCTTGGTTCTTTGCTTGAGACAAAGGTGAAATTTTTTGTTCGTTTTCATTTCATTTGAAAAACTGTTTGGCAGTTTAGAGATGAATCTTTAAAAAGATACCTCGATTGTTTGTTGATATGTGATATAAGTTTTCTTTGTAATGACTCAGTTGACAAAGTTACTGTAAAATTATGACGAGCGGTGTAAGCTTTCTACGCAGTCACTCTTAAGTTGACCTAGTTACTGTAAAACTGTCACGGTTTTCCCGAGAGTAATAGTCAAATTCCTTGCTTGATTCAGTCCATACTTCGTAGCATACTGTAACGAGTTAGCGCTACATTGGAATTTAACTGAGCTCTCCAGTTTGGGTACTCATTGTAAGAAATATTGAATATGTCTGTACTCGAGAGTCAAAAGAGTGAATCAGTGTCTCAGATCAATTATGCCGGCATAATTTTGGGGATAATGCTCTAGTCAGAGCATCTGGTATGATCCAGGCATAATGACCAAGCTTTTTAAAAAAAATCAGTTAATGTTAGATTTTAACAAGAAATACATTTTGTTGCCTGAGCACTGTCAACAGTGAGCCTGTTTTTCTTGCCCCAGACTTAAGGAATTTGATTCAGTGAAATGTTGTTCTGAACTTCGTTAAGTCTTTCATCCTTAGTACGTATTACCTGTTGGTGGCGGGGATTGGGAAGGAGAGGTTGCGGAATTGTTGAGCTGAGAAAATGAAAACTTTTGAGCGTAATTTTCGGCTTAATGCCATGGTTTCAGGAGTGATACTCATGAGCTTATGCTCAAATTTGCGAGCTTAATTTATCTGACGCCAGTACTTATTTCCAATACTTATTTTTAAACTGAAACTCCTGAAACGCTTTAGAGGATTTTCAACTTATAGGGAACCGAAAACTTTTCTGTTCATGTAAGTGTGTACGTAATGTTTTAGATAGTTTACAGTAAACGAGATTCGGTCAAAAAGTTTAAATTATGGCTTTATTTATCTGGTTATTTACTTATCTATATATTTATTACGGAAGGATATCATTATATTTAGTCTTCTTACCATCATTACGCTAGGAATGGAAGATCCATTAAATGGATCAAAATACACCCTTGAGATTGCACACCAGGGGAGCTCCACATTAATAGGTCAGTCTGTCGGTCTTCGACGAATTGTGATTAGCTCTGCTTCCGTCCGCGTCAGTCACGCTCTCGCCAATCGCGGGCTACACAGTCCACACGGAGACCGACTGAGATTTCCAGTTTGAGTCGTGATTTCTTTACTTCTCTCCTCAGGCGATACCGTGAAAAACAAGATGGCATCTTTCACTTGCCGCTGATGCAACAATTTACGCAGGCTCTACGATTGAACTTACATTTAAAATAATATTTAGTTCTCTTTCACTATCACGTACTTTGATGTCATGTAAAACTTGTTTAACACGTACAAGCTAAAACCTGGGCGGGGCATTTACCTATATTCTTCAGCAAGACATCCAACTATCACGGTGCCTCTCTCTTTCCAGGAGTATGGATAGCGAACGGTGACCTTTCAGGAAAGCCTGACAAAAGGCTGTGTGTGGTGTGCGTGTGTGCGATGAACTGCGGTAGTAAGGGTCACTAGGCTTGATTGCGGACTCTACCCTCCTACCTTCTCTCAACATGTCACCTTTTGCACTCCCTAAATAAATACAGTAGAACAAGTGCTTTCTCTTGCATTTCCTTTAAACTTCCTCTTAAGCTACGTATTAAAAGATGCAAATCTATGAAGAAACTGTAGTGCTGCTGCTTCCGTGGGTAATTACAATAACATTTGGCCTCATCACCTGAGTCGATGATGTAAAGTGGCCACCGTAAATAGTTTCTAAAGCTGGCTAGCTCTTCGTTAGCGCGCTCCAACAATTCGGCGAACGCTCGAAAAGTCCGCTTTAGAGGCTCTTAACGGATGCAATTTACATTATAGCTAGATACCGTATTTGTTAACCCGTATTTGTATGCGTAATTTCTCCGAATAAGGCAAACGGCGGAGTCTTATCTACATTTAAAGCACTCTTCTAAGACCTACTCAATCTAGGATTGTATGATACAGGAAATACTGTATGTTTGTGTTGAAAAGCTGAAGGGGAAAGAAGTGCAAGACACACGAGTATCGAAAACTGCTTTTAATTTTTAATTCAGCTACATAGAATTTCATTCTCAACTGTAAAGCACTTCGTTCTACAGCCAGTTTCAGTGGAGTGTCTAATTCCTTATCTTTTAACGCAATATTTACTGTACATTAAATTCGTCTCGTAAATCGTTTAATTTCCGCTACTTTTGACAAAAATACCATTTTTTCAAACAATTGGCGCTTAGAATAGGCAAAGTTCATAGGGCACGCCTGTCTCGGTGCAGATTGAACCTTGGAAAGAATAATAATCTCTTCTTAGGGGAAAGGTGATTTGTCTCATTCAGCTACGTTAAAGAAAGACATTACTTTGCTCTAAGCACCTCGAAGACGACTGGCTTGTGAAAGCCAACTATTTCGCGTCCTCTCTAATTACTTTTGTCCGGGAGACAAGTAAAGTCTTCGTACACTTTGTGGTCAACGACAAACAATCTGAGATTGTCGGAACAGGAACCATTTTTTTCGCCGTTTACAACCGCAACCTTGCACGCTTACGAGGTAGTCATCTTGTCACGTGATTTCCAACTTGGCTGTCAATTGGTCCTTGTCCAGGTGCTTTGCTATTTGGGGGTAGGGGTAACGCACTCGCTCACCACGCATGTCAGGCACGCACGCTCTCGACATCTTGGGCGCTCCATACTCACGCACTCTCCCACGCTCTCTCTGAGGTCGCCTTCAAGTGATCAATTCTGCAAGAGAAGGAAAAAATGGTCAGCAAACTGAAATAAATTGCTAAGGGATTGTTGGAGATAGGGAAAGTGAGCTTTCTTTTATGTTCAACTCCGACTCTGACTCTGTCTCCCTCCCCAATAAAAACCAGGCTTAATATTTGCAGAACAGAATTGTTTGGTGCAGACTTCCGTACTTCTGAAGACTAAGCGCGCCAAATTAAGTACCAAGAGACACTTAGTAACAAAACTTGGAATCAAAATTACTCTACAATAAACTGTACGGAACTGGGTTTGAACAAATACCGAAATCTCTATTTAACCATACTGCAAGATTTACAACCGACGGTTCATCACACTTCGTGCATTTAACAGAGAACTTCTAACTTACAAGCAACTGACCTGCTGTTGTTTGAGCTTACGCAGTTCCTTAGTTGCCCACGAAGCGACTTGTTTGCTTTTGTGTGTCTTTGATCGTCGTCCTTCTTGAAGAAGCTCGTTGATGGCTTGCTTCTCAAGAAGGATATGAACTTGGGCCCCGAATGCTGAGCAAATATCTCTACGAAAACAATATCATTGAAATGAGTAAACTGCATAGCGAGCCAGCATGATTTATTTCTATGAACAAACTTTTCAGTGATATGAAGGCTTTAAATCGATGCGCAGCGGCCGAATGGTTGGTACACTGGAGTCCCGAATGAAAGGTCCACTTCGAACGCGACTGAATCATGGGGGAGGACACTTCGATTTCAGTGCCTCTTCTCCACTAAGACCCGAAGAAGTATAAACTAGATACCAGTAGGCCAAGTTCTGGCAGTCTAGCCAATGACAGACTACTTGTTAGTAGAATATCCATCGCATTTGACCAGTACGTCACGCTGACTTCGAATGTGTTGGAGCACTCAGTGATTACAGGTGCAACGCAGTTAAGCGTTGTTAATGGGTCGCCATTAACTGGAATGAAGCATTTAAATAACTTATTGAAGCAGATAGACTCTAAAGGAGAAAGAATAAACCAAAAAGGGGGAAGGATGGTCGAGGACAGAGATGAATAACACAGATTGCAAATGACGAACTTGAAATTTAATCCCTTACACCCTATCATTAGTATTCACATCTTTCACGTTGTTCTCTTTACATTTCCTATGGTTCTGACAAGGAGAATTTGCTTGACAATCAGGAGCTTCTTAAATTGGGGATCATTTCCTTTATTTTCATGACCGGCTTTATGTTTAATTGAAGGGTGATACTGAAAGTAGAAATTAGAAGCAAGTCACTCATAAGGAGTAAAGGCGTTCCTCTGAGATGACAAAGATCTGGATTAGTGATTCAAAGCAAGATTACTCGGATCGTCTGAACGGAAGACACACACAGCTTACCCGACAAGACCACAAGCACTGGACACATTGCTCTCCGTGTGATCCACGTCTGTTGCTATGACTTCAATGAAGCTGACGATATGCGGAAGGTGAGGCTGAACGAGATCCAGAGCTAATTTGAAATCACAACCACAATTAGAGTGACGGAATCAAGATGACTCTAATCACAGTTAACAGCAAACATGAAGGGTATTAGCATAATTGCTTCATTGGACACCACTTAGGGTTCCATATTAGAAGATTAAAAAGAAAAAAAAAAAAAAAAAAAAAGGGCTTAGGGTACCCCCCTGCTTCAATTTTAGGGAGCCCTATTTCAAAAGAGAGGAACCACTGTATGATATACTATAAAAAGGTTTCATCTCACATGTAGAGTATAATCAGTAAGAAAACGAAGAAGAGAAAGGAAAAGGAGACAGAAAGAAGCTACAATAGCAGCTCTCGTTTACCGATCTTCTTGTCAATTATGTTTACCAGTACTTTATGTAATAAAACAAACGCAACTTTAAAATACGTAGTACTTATCCTTGGGCACATTTTTTTTGCACCCAATTCATGGTAAATCGTAAGTCTTAGGCGGCAATCCTATCCAATTACGGAAATTTGGCAAAGCCGCGCTCTCGAAGAAACCCAGAATGGTAAGAAATTCATTAAAGAGGGATGTTGAGTAGCTTCTCTATACTTACGACAAGGTGTTGGACTGGGTCCGTCTGCAGAGCCCTTCAGCCCTTGTATAATCCCAGTATAAGCTTCTAAACATCCTTCCCTGAGCTCATTTAAGTAGTCCACCATGTCATAATCCGCCTGAAATTCAGACCGAAAGATCTGGCTGATTATCATGTAAGAGAGGTTATCCAATATGGCAAATCAACATGAAAACCTGGATATGAAGCTGGGAAAGGACAACCTCCCAGAAACTTCAATCTTATTCAGGAAGTGTAGCCAAGCACCCCCGCCCCCCCCCCCCTCTTTAAAACCTTTCATCCCAGCTCTCGAAAAATTTGACCTTGATTGAATGAAGTTCCTCCACACTGGCTCCTGAGCCCTGAACAGGAACCCTTAAACGATCGTCCAGGGGGCATATTGGCTGTCACGAGAATGTTGAGGACACTAGTGTCGTTTCCTTTTTCACTCTTGCCTTCACTGCTCATTTCAGTACTTTCAGAACGTTTTTATGCATAGAAATAAATATTTTTTTCATCCATCCAAATTTTAATAACTTACTTTGTCCACAATCGTAACTGAAGCTTGATTCAGAGTTGCTATGACAACATCAAAGTAAGGAGCGAAACTGGGCCCAATGGCTAAAGCAACATCACCAAAAACTGAGAGAATATGAGGTTTGACGCTGCGATGGACATTTGCGTCCTGTTAAAATGCAAAACGAAACTGGTTAGGAAAAAAAAAGCAGTCGAACGTCCACGCATGTGTGTGCGCTGTAACTGCAGTGAGGATCGGAAAGAGCACCGCGAAGAGGCGATATCGCACATAGTACAAATTTAAAACAAGTATACATAATTAACGCTCAGGTCATCCCCTCCCCCTACCCCTACCCAATCCAAATTTGTTGATGTCGTCTTTGAGAACTCATTGACCTAACAACTGGCCACATTTGCTCATACGTTTGGTTTCTGGGTAACAGCATAAAAAGAAAAGAACACTAGTATCAAAAACTTAAGATATGCAAGGGACAACAACCAGAGAAACCGATCGCGCTTGGGGCAAGGGTCATAATGATAGAAAGAAAGTACTCACCGCCAGGTTTTCCATTAAAATCTGCATGAAAAGGTCACTGACTTTCATTATTTTGTCTCCTAATGCTCTAGCAATGTCTCCAACTAGTCCGACAGCGGCAACACAAACCTGTTACAGAAAGATAGAAAACATGAAACAGGGAGAAAATGTTGGTCTATGCAACGCTGAACAAAAAGATTGTCACTAAATAGAGTCTGAAGATGTCCTTTTTAGTTTCAGGCCCAATTGGCAAATTAACTGTCACGTGAAAAAGGTGGTTCAGTTAAAAAAAGGTCAAGAAACGATGAATCAATGCCAAATGCACTTTCCTCTCTTCCTTACCAAACATACTGATGATGATGATGATCTGTTGACGGTTGTTTTGCTAGAGGATTTACTACTTTTGTTTGTTTGTTGTCATTACTTACCACACTGGCATTACTTATTGAGATTTAAAACCTTTTCCACCACCTTCCCACTGCTTTCATTTCCCTCTCTTATTTTTTTTAACTCGCTCGTTTCCTTCTCTCTCTTATCTTTTTTATTTCTCTTTTCCCCTTCTTTCGATACAATCACAATGATACAAATAGTGACTGCAGTTAAAAAAAAAAAAAAGGAAAAAAGGGAAAAAAATTTCTACCATAAACAACTTCTTTCAAAATGATACTTGCACTGCCTAAGTTTCACTAACTTGTCTGACTGTCTGTCTCAACTGTAAACATCCTCAGCATCAAATAGCATTGAAGGTTCTCTCAAATCCAAACAAGAACAACTCACCTGGTATTCAACTCGCTCTCTCAGTGCTTCTATTAAATAGGGTTCGAAAGACTCCATATAAGGGTGAAAATTCTTCCCCAGAACTACAAAAGGACAGAATATTTGTTATGAACGATCAGACTACTACACAACACGTGCGAATGCTACTCCCAGGTTCAAATCAGTAATTGTATTACGAGTTCTTTTACATTTTGAAATCACTGGTGATCTCTGCAATCTGATTGGCCCTCATCAGTGTGATTTATTCCCAAATCACACCATTTTATTTTCTAAATTGCATCTTTTTTCCCAGTCAGTGAGACAACTTTACTTAATGCAACAACCAATCATATTTCAATAATTAAAAAAAAAAAACCTTCAAATTGCAGGAAAATGATAAACAACTTTTGTGGCTTTTTACAGACCAGCTTAGTGCTAGATCAATAAAATATTTGTACCGACTAAAAATACCTGTATTTGTGAGACTGAATTTTGCAATTTCAAAATGGATGTAAATAAGTGGAAATTAAACTTTTTGTTGCGCAATTTTTGGTCTGAAATCACACTTGTGATTTCAAATCAAACTTGTGCTGCAGGCTCACTCAACGCATTATTCCAATTAAATTTGCACTCCTCTCAATTCAATTACCAATATTTATTATTCATTTTTTTTCATTCATTGACATACTTTCCACTAGAGTACCAATTGCCATCAGAGCATCTTCCTGCACCCCACCCACAATCTTCGCTCCTGAGCTAGGGTTGAGCATCTGAAGCAGTGCTTGCATCATCAGGGGGGCAATTTGCAGTGCATCTTGTGGATTCACCTTCCTCAACACACTCTGTAAGGGAAATAATCACATTGAGGAATTGTTAAAAAGAATAAGAATTTGATGGGGGTGCTTAGTTGGCCAAATATCGCCTGGAAGTTTCCCAATGTGTAGTTCCTCTTATCTGGTATTTATGTAATTCGGCTTCAGCACAATGATCCTTAGTAATATGCATTCTTGATCAAGCTTGTTCCATCATGATTACTGAGTACTTTTTTCTTTTATCTTTTCTTTTTTCTTCTTTATTCATCAACTTACTCAACAACCTACTTGGACTGACAGAGAGTTAAGGTCCACCAAACACACACACAAAAAAATGCAGCCAACATCTGTTCATCTTGGCCAAGCTACCTCAGCCAATTAATATTCACCATAAGGAAAAACATGACACCTCCAAAAATTTCAGAATAGAATTTGAGGAGCTCGTCACTGTTTTCTCTCTTTTGACTGATGTAACACATTCAGTCTCAATGTTTGGGAAGCATTTTTGTTGAAACAGATAAGGTTTCAATAAAGTTGCTATCACCCTTTAAAAGCAATTTTTGACAGGCAAGATAAACCCATCTGGCCTGCTAAAAAAATGAACCCAACCTCCCCCTGGGGAACAAAGGATTTGCATCATCTTGCTCCCTTGCACAGCCAGTCTTTTAACCTTGAATCTTCTAACATCATTTGAGTAGAAAGTCATGTTAAACACTGTAATTGCTCAAATAAGTACCCATGTATTTATTTCAAATTTGGTTAAAATGAGGGGGGTTGTTAAAAGAAGGGCACTTAACTGAGTGAAGCACTAAGCAAGTTTGGGCAGCAACAGGACAAAAATTAAGATAACACATATATTAGATAACAAATGTAAAGGAATTCTGCAAGCACATGAAGACAGGAATAACCATGCCTCAAAATAATTGGAAGTGACAAAAGAAACTCTCCTCCTCTGCTACAGTTGAAACTTAAAAAGTTATAAATAAAGTGGCAATACAAACAGGTTTTCCCTGTAACCCTCTTATTTAAGAGAGTGAGGGAGAAGGGAATAGGGGCACTAGTATTCAAGAGGGGCATTTGTTTGATATTTTGGCCAAAGGGGTGGGTGCTCAATTAGGGAGGGTGTTTATTTGAGCGTGGGCAATTATTCAAGCAAATACAATAATGTTAGACTGAAAAGAGGCAACATAAGAAGTAAGGGCATCAAAGGACAACTGTTTACCTGCAGTGTTGCACATAACAGAGACTGCAAGTCATGGTACTGGGCTCTGTCTGCAACATTTTTCTACAAAGAATGATGACCATGCTAGTTAGGTACACAATTAATACCAGTAATATTTTACAGTTTTTAAAATTTAAATGCTTTGTGATTTGTGAAAAAAAGTTACTTGGAGCAAGATAAAGTCTAAGGTAAAATGAAAAGATCAAGAAACTACTTAGGATATCTTAAGTTATACTAACACCAAATATTTGTAGACTCACCTCCATCTCTAACAATCGGTTTAGTCTTTCCAGAATCACCACTGTAGTTCCTTGTACCACTTCATAACAATCCTGCAAGATCATATACAAGTACATATTAAAAACATGATGCATTTCTACAAGACACACTTCACTGTCATAAAACAAACTCACTAAGACCAGAGGAGCTATGTCTGGTGACATATGTCTCATGACAAAATGTTTCTCACATATTGGTACATTCTGGTTTTCAGTTTAAGCTAATTCACTTTCTTTCATCACTGCCTGACCACGCTATAACCAAGCAAAAGCCACTGCAATCTAGCCATTGAGAGGCCAGATAGCAAAAACTGTTTCTATAACATAGCAATACTCTTGCTAAACAATTTATAGCACTCAATTCTGTAAATATGTTTGAGATTTTATATCAATTTGTCTCATAGCTCCTCTGAAGGAATTTCTGTGACTGTTTCTAAGCTTTTCTTGACTGGTTTTGTTACAGTTGTCCTTGTGCATTCCTTTGTTGCTTTGAGCCACTGCCTTCTACTGTTTTGAACATTTTGTTGTATACATTTTTAACCATACTGGTAACTAAAAGTTTTTAAGTGATTGTCCTCAAGTACTTCTAAGAATCGTTGTCACTGTTCTCTAAAAGTATCACTGAACATTTTGGTAGTTGTCTTCAGGTATTCTTGGGTCGTTTTATAGGGGTTTTTAAATGTAGTTGTTCATCATATTTATGACAGTTATTTTACAGCATGCACTGTGTTCTTGTTTAACCCCTTCTGCATTCTTCTTGTAATATATAATGTCTTGGGAACATTGGAAATCTGGGGCCATGAGCTCTTCCGTCAAATGTGAACCTATGTTCAGCTCTGACAATCTCTCATTGGGGCTCATGGCTAGGTTGAGGGGATTTTCCAGCTATGGGTGCAGTATTCTTTCTGAAGCCTTGCTGAAGAGAATGTAAGCCCTGGTTAAACCAGGTATTCACCCACCACTTCAGCACGAGGGTAGTTAAATTTTGTTAATTAAGGATACAACAAAGTTAAGAGGTATTCTGGTGAGGAAACCCCTGTCAACCCCAATCATCCACTTCCAATTCAAACAAGGTAGTAATTGTATAAGAATTCCATTTTGGAAGGTTATCCCCTTGCCATAAATTCTTCTTAAATCTCTAGTTACCTTTGCACTATTTTTTATTAACTCCATCACGGCTTCATAAGCAGAACTTCTTAAGTTTCCATTATTAGCATCTCCTCTGAAAGATGACAAATTTGTATGTGTAGTTTGTTTCAGTTAAAATTCAAAAAACAAGTGGACACTAAGTGGGAAACGTTATTGTTCTCACAACATGAAAATGTTAGCACACTTGTGCAGCTTCTGAAGCAAAGACATTCCTCAAAATTAATCTTTAAGACTCCATTAAATTATGATCTTCCTTGTACAAGGAGCTCCTATATTCAGAAGTAATCATCCCTTTCATATTTTTGGAAAAGAAAATTGCTACTGACATAACAATAAATAAGGCACTGAAACATTACATTTTCTAAAATAAAACTATGTTGAGGTATGCTACAGCAACCTGTTAATTCTGGTAGCATTAAGATATTCTTGAACTTTGTTTGAGAAATTCTAACATTTTGTGGAATTCAAAATTTTGCATGACATACAACACCCAGCAAATCCAACTATCCACAACACAGTTCATGTCCTCTAAGGCTCCCAACAGTTTGTTCAGTAGGTGGTAAAGGTAACATGACTTGAAAATTTTAAAGTGTAACAAATATCTAAGGGGGTGTCATCCACCCTCACATGGTTGAAAAGGGGGAGGGGGGCAATAAATTTGTGTCAGAGGGACACTGCCTATTTTCACCTACTGTCAATACCTGTCTGTGACTTCAAGAAGTTTTTCCACTATTTTTCTAAACCAGGGTGACAGTGCGTAAGTCTGTGGTTCCTCCTCCTCTTCAGGGACTGGTGCAGCTTCATATGCTGCTTCCCCCAAGGAGTTAAATGCCTATAAAAACAAACAATCCAACAAAGACAGTTATGCTGTGCTCTGTCATGATCAACAGTTTTTGATTTGTTGGGTACTTCTGTTTCCTATGAAGAAAACATATTTTGGTTGGTTTGGTTCATCATCTCTTTCAACCAGCATCAAACCAGTTTGAGAGAAAATAAGCATGACATTAACAACTTGTTACTTAAATGGAATTTTAGTGGCTACTGCCTCCTATAAGAGGTGAAGCCACATTGGTTGTTGAAACGAGTGAGCGAGTGATAGTAACAATAGAATTATCACCTTGACCCAATTTTGGCCCTCAAGCCCAGAGAAATCAAGCCTCCAATCATAAATCAACAATGTGTTGTTTACTCTTTCACATGTGATCTGTGTGATTCAGATTATGTCAGCTTTACAGCTCAACACCTCCATCAATGTATTGTTGAACATGAAAACTCTGCAATCGGTACATTTTTTTGACAGCCCATGGGGATACAAGCCTCCTCAAAGAAAGCCAATTCCACATTCTAAAATAGTGCCACAGAAAATTTGACTGTCTTGTCTATGAGATGCTTTTAATCAAGCCATGCAATCCTTGTCTCAACATGCAGACTGATTCCATTTGCGCAAAACTATTTGTTTAAAAGAACATTCCATTACCTATTGTCTTTTTAGTGTTTAAACATTTTTTATCTTTCACTCTTTGACTTGATAATGAAGTTAGCCAAACATAGAAATGTTGTCAACATATTTTCAATATGCTTTTACAAAATGTTTTATTGCAATTTTTTACTGTTAAAATTAAAAGAAGCATATTTTAATCATTATTGGAGCCTAGAGATAGAACAATAGAGAAACAGTGAGGTTCTTGAGCTAGCCCCTTTAAACTATTGTTATAATTATTATTATTATTATTATTATTATCATCATCATCATTGTTGTTGTTACTATAACTTTTAATATGATTATTTGTTACTGTTTACTCACTGGTTGAGTGCCAATTAGTCACTATATTCTGGATTCATCTTTCTCTCGTGGAACAGGGTATTCATAAATATCTAGGATGGGGTAGGTTTTCTGTTTTAAGACAAATCTTCTGTGATACTACTGTCTAGCATCATTATACAACCTCCAGTTCTTTTCAAAGCTGTTAAAATTGTGTTATATCAGTAGCCACATGCAGTCTTAAACTGCCTTTTTTAAAAATTATGATGTGGACTTTAATAAGCAAATGAAGGGTAAAACAATTTCATTTTGACATGATGAACAAATGGCAAGTGAAAGAATTTAGCTGATCACTTTGTGCAACAAGGTGCAAAGAAGACAGATAACTGTTAGCATGAACTACAAACAGGTCAACAACTCTTACTCATAAGAAAACTCACACAACTCACCCAGCAAACATTAGCAGCAACTCTGGGTTCTGCCTTTAAAGACTCTAAAAGACTTTCAACCAAAGGTTGAAGGAGTTTCCCCCCAATGACAACTTGTGGTAAAATTTCACATATTCGGCCAAGTGTCCAAGCCACAGAGTCACGCACTACAACAGACTGGTCTCCCATTAAATGCAACAGTGTTGGCAATGCCTGTAATAAAGAATTTAACAGGGTTTCATGTGATGATTGGTGGCACATAATCACACCAAAGCCCATGCACTGGAAATGAAAAAGTTATATATTTTTGGCAAATTGTCAATCTTAACTAATGTTAGTGATATGGGGGTGGGAGTGTAATTGTCTGCTTGATTTGCCCCACACTAATTTCATTTTCCCATCATAAGCCTAAATAAATGTGGCTTTCTGGTTGATACCAGAATGAGAGGTCCATGCCAATTTGGATTTGGTCACATTACAGAATTATATATTAGAAAAACCTTTAACCATGAAGATGGGTTACTTGAATGCTTTGCAGCCACATTTCTTTTTAATTGGGGTTACAAGATACTAGCACCTTGTTTTGGTTTTCTTAGAGTATGAAGAAGCAAATTCCCAATTTATCATTTGAGCAATTTTTGGTTCAATAAGGTTTACTTTGGACACATCTTTGACAAATTGCAATCCAGTTGTTTGACTGAGCAATCAACATATTGATCAATCTTTCTAGCTTGGCCTGTTCCTTATCACTTGTTTTTTTTTTCTCTTTCTGGTGCTGTCCTTCCCTCAAACTTGTTTGATCTTTCACACAAACAACTTTGCCAGTAGACCTATTAGTGATTTGCTTTTAATCAAAGCCACCATTGGCTACCTTTCAATGGCTGGTTTCTCCTACCCTTTATTCTGATGCCATCTAAACTTATTAACAACACCACTAAATTGTTCCCTCAGAAAAAGTATCCTTTCAAAACTTCCTACCCTGCCTAGTAGATGCAGGAATGTGAGCAGCTCACCTTTTCCTACTTAGTCCATTATACAGGTTTAAAGAAATCAGCAATAATTATAATCATTTGGCATTTCTTGAACCCTGGGAGCAAGGTGCATTTACTGACATTGTCATAACATTGTCCATTTTACCTTTGCTGCATATGGCTGCAGAGCCTGTGGATCAGGTCCTTCAAGAATTGAACCTAAAACAAGCAAACAGTCTCAGATATTTTCAGTTTAGAGAAATCTTAGGGCTAAAAAATTGAAATTCAGCTTGCCCCTGGCTAGTTAAAAATCTTGTGCACTTTTTTTGCTTCAATAATGTAGTAAAATCAGGATGTACAAATCAAAAGGTTTGTCTGTTGGAAATACCCTCCTTCTGTTGCACCATTAGAAAAAAAATTGATAAATAAATTAAAAACACAATTTGATGACTTCAATGTGAAGATGGGCATGAAATGGGCTATCACTGAAACATTCAAAACAATTCAGAAGGAGGATGTCTATCAGGGGGTTGTTCTGCACTTTTCTCTTACACATTCCTTCATATTATAGAAACAATTAGACTTTGGAACTCACCAAATGCCATAACTGCTGCATCTCTTAGTTTCCAGTCTTCATTAACAATATTTGTTTCAATAAATGAAGAAACATGATTAATTATATTGTCTTCACAGCACTGTGCCAGCAACATCAGACACACTCCTGCTGCTTTGTTTGGGTTCCAGTCATCATCATCATCAAATTCTTCCTGATTTCAATAAAAGTGTTCAAACTTTAAGGTATCACAAAAAGAAAAATAGCGTGAAAAAATATGTGTTATCCCTATAAAAGTATACATTTCCTTAATGCTTAATTAACACTGATTCCAGATACTTAATTGGATTGTATAATTTTGACCATTGAACAGTGAGAGCTTATTCTTCCACACCAAGATGTTTTAAAAGATAAGTTTATGTGCTTTACCGAGCACCTTCAGCCAAAAATTGACAACCTGCATAACTGAAACTGGCAACTGTTAACAAGTGCTCTGGAGGACTGAAAAAGCAATGGTACATGTAAAACGTAGTCCTTCCTCCTGCATTGATTCCAAGTCTGAGAGGCAGAGCTGACTTTCAGAAGTTTTAGTTATTTTTCTGTCTATGGTCCAAAGGTTAGAGGGGTAAATATATTTAATGTTCCCTTAGTGCCTTTTACAATTTCCCCCTTTCTACTTGGTTGACCTTGAGATACTCTGTGAACTTCCATTAACTATAAATATTGCCATCATAATCTGTCTTTCATCCTGCACCAAATTTTCCTCTTTTAGAGTTTCTAAAGCAAAATAAGACCGTGTAAAATTGAACAAGCTTTCCCTTTTCATTTGTTTGTCTTTTTGTTTGCTTTTTCCTCATGTTTAGCTGCATTGATCCAGTAAATAATATTATAACCTTTCAACTTCCAGAGGTGATTAAAATGTAACTTCTCACTACAATATCCACACACAATCCAGCAAACAGGTGATGAGAATACTCAAACTTATCTGCTGGTATAAGCTGTTACCTTGATCTGACATTAAATTCTTATAACTTGTTTACAAGGAAGTGTCTAGCAGCTAGAGAGGAGAATTAACAATCTGATCTTGGGAATTAAAGGGTTACTAATGAAGGATTTCTATAGCGCCATATCCATTGGCTCAAGGCACTTTACAACACTTTGCAGACAGCATTGAGCAGTTTTGCAATTTATGAAGGAAATTTGGGTGGATGCTCCTAATTTCAGAGTCAAGGCCAGACCACGACACCAGGAGCTATGTTTCCTACTCTTTGCTATAAGTATGCTGGTTCTTTAATGTCCTCTGCTAATCAGTACAGAGAGGATCAATGCAGGAGACAAGGCATATGGTTTTCTGTCCTTACCTGAGTAAGAGCTACATTTATTACTTTTGAGTACACCTTGTTACAAAAATGTTCCAACACTGCACTGACCTGCTTAGTTAAGCATTCCGTCAACAGAGGTGCAATATATTGCAATGCTCCTTTGGCATAGTGCTTGCTTGTTTGTTCTGGTTCCTTGTTATTTTCCCTGGCCTTTGAAAAAAGACAATTTACCCTTTAAATACATAGAGCTTAATGCCAAAAAAAATTACCTGAGGGGAAAAGAGATTGAACCATTCCTTTTCTAATCTAGCAATAAGTTTCACCTAACCCTGAAACTCCCAGAAGTGATTAACATGTAACTTCTTCCTGTAACATCCACACATTATCGAGCAAACAGGTAATGAGAATACTTAAAATTATCAGGTTATAGCTGTTATCGCAATGTAACACTAAATTCTTGTAACTAATTTACAAGAAAATGTGTGGTAGCTAAAGGGCAGAATTAACAATCAGATCTTGGAAATTAAGAAATTGAGAAATCTATACATGAGACAATCCTCACCTCAACAGCTTCAATTTCTAAGTCCATTTCTTCATCACATATCGAAGACCAAAACTCAATTCCTTGGAGGGCTATCTCATCACAGTCTGACTTGATTGCATCCAGGGAAATCTGGGTGAAAAAAAATAAGTTAAAGCATTTTTTTTGTAACCTTTGAGTGGCCTTGGGATAACCAGCAACTTGTTGCAGCAGTGTGTTACATTTTTGGCACTTGACTAGCTCGTTGAGACAAAATGAAAAATTTGAAACAAACAAAAATAATGACAAAAGAAGCCCTTTTTCCAAAAATTTTTCTTTTTTTAAATTTTTCTAAGGGCAAAGGTGTTGAAAATTAAAAGGTTGACACAGTATGCAAAATTGGATGCATTGGATTTCTACTAGATTTCAAACCAAACTATACCCATACCACAACTGCCTCTGATCTTAATTCCAGATGTAACAATTGTGTTTGCTCACAATCTTACCCAAATCCCAGTATAACCATACCCTTTTCACAACAGGACTGACACAGGTTGAGTAAACTTACTGGAAACAATGCTGTACCCATGTACTCCTCCATGTGTTGATAATAGAGTGACACTATCTTAACGATATTCTGCAGTGCTGCAACTTTTAGCTATCAACAAAATGAAACAAGAAGCAATTACTAAGTAAGAGGTAGTATAGTGAAGGTAAGCCAGGAACAAGCAGCTCATAACATGAAATAGCCTTACATTAGAAGGTCTTTCAAAACAATTTACCATAATTGTGGAGATTGGGAATAACCAAAGATAACAACAATGAACTAGAAACACCAAAATAATATTGCATGGCTTTTAAGAACTGAAAATCCTTGGTACTCACTTGAATCTCACTGGTTTGAGTTGCTTCACAAACAACTTGCATAATGTAGTTTCGTTCAGACTAGTAAAGAAAAATATCACGGTGACTTGACTGCATAACTTTTGTAATTCAGTTAAAAGAGATAAACAAAATTTTATATACTTAGACCTTCTGAAGCTCAGCTAAGATTATTGTTGCATATTTTACAGCTTATTTCAATGTAGAAATCACTACCTATTTAATCATACTAAAAAATAACAAAAATAAGAAGATTTGCAAATGCAAGCCTAAAAATTGTCACTTGCTTGCAGAAATTTTAAACAAATCCAGGAAAAAATTTTCCCAGGTGGACTTAATAGAAATCTGGTATAGGCAACTTGTTCAGAAGGAGAGAAGAAAAACAAGTTTTGCAGTAAATCGAAGGTAAGCTTTTATGCAGTGAAGTGATATTATGACATTTGTGAATAGTTACAAAAGGCAACAACAGTAAATCATACCACTCTTTCAAAATTCTGCTTTGTAAATTCAAGAGAATTGAGAAGGGCATTTGTAGCTGCAATCCTGATATGCATACTGTAAAAATGAACAAAAGGTAAAAGAAAACACATCAATATTTTACCCATGTACTTGCTGAGTAATGGGAACTACTGACAAAAGTGGTTCATGTATTTTACTGCTGTGCTCCTGTGGAAGTAATCTTGCCTGAGGACAACACAATCCCAGTTGGGTGTTAAACCATAACCCTTTAACTCCCAGACCAAATTTGTAACTCTCCTTATTGTCAACAAAACAATTCTTATAATGTTACTTTAGAGAATTTAGTATTGGATCAACTAATCATCCCCAAATTGATAGTTTTCTTTATTCTCATCACTTGTCTAATTTATATTGTATTGATATTGTGAGGAGAAATTATGTCTTAGTCACTCACGGGAGCTAAAGGGTCAACCTTTTAAACTAGATGGCAGGCCAGAAAATGTTTTTGATAATTGTTATTTCAACCTTGCATCTTCCAAAGAACCTTGGTTTTCATCACCTCAAGAACGTAACTTTTAAATAATTTTAATTTAAGCATTTTATAGGAAACCTATGGCAGGTCCACACTGGTTCTTGGGGTTGTCACAAACAGACCTGCCTCACCAAAAAAGTATATGTATATATGTACATTGAACCATTCAATAATTTTAAGAAGAGAGAGGTATAATATGTCACAGTACAGTTTTTCCACTGAATGAGAACAAATTGACACTTTTTCTCTAACAATGGCCAAGTGAAAGGCTAACACCCTCGACACAAATTAGAGATGAGGACAAACAGAATCTACTTGGTAAGGCTTTTCCTCATTCCAATCAGGTTGTTACAGTGTATACCTTGGATGGATTGTTACATATCTTGAATACATGAATGATAAATGAACCCCTAATTACAGGCTCAAACTTAATCCAAAATGGCACAACTCACTTTGGCTCTTCCTTTTTCATCCCTGTGACAATTGCTGTTAGGATAGTGTGCCCTCGTTCAACAAGATGTTCTGGTTCCTATAACCACACAGACAAAAATAATAACCAAATTTACTTCAATAATTAGAGATATTCATTAACTAAATATAAACAGGTCTTTTTGGAGAGGGTTGTGACTTCAAATAATTTTCTCAGTAGAAAAACATTTGTCCAGAAGGAACAAGTACTACAGAAATTCAATCACAAGACTTTCAAGCTGAAGTGTCTTAAAAGCAGTACATCATTAATCCATTAAATGATGCAGTCACAGCTCCCTTAATAAATGTCCTCATGAGCACTCATTTCAACTTTCACCACTTTGAAGCTATGACTTAAACTTTGTAACTTAACAAAAGATGCATGAGCCCTTATCAAGTTCCGGACAGTTTGTCTGTTTCAAAAAAGTGATCCATTGAGAATATTCAAACTGTGGTAAGAGATTAGTTACTTACAATATCTTGGCAAATATAACCCAGTGTTTCCAAAGCATGTTCCCTCACTTTCTCCGTATTGCTTGCATCTATTATAAGTTGATATAGGATTTCTATCAAGTCCTGCCACTGTCTCTGAGGAATTTCAGCACAAGCAATGGCTGCAATACACTGTGTTTAAGGAAATTAAACATAAATTAGAATTTGTTATAACTCAGATAGTTTGATCCTGTTTACTCTTTGAACTACTTTCACCCAACACAATAGAAAAAGACAAGAACAATGATCCATTGGTAAAATTAGTACAAGTGTATAAAGAAAATTTAAGGGAAAATGTTTTGGTACCAATTGGCATAAGGTTTGTGTTGGGCTCAAGCTACTTTGTACTAAGACAACCAGCTAAGCCTTAGCTTCTTGAATAATTCAACCTTAAATTCAAACGTTTACCAGTTGCAATCCCTGTAACTCTTCTTAACACTAAGCCCTCATTACAGCATAATGACACTAGCTCCTTTTTCCCCTTCAAGACTCGTACTTAAAGAACAAATTTTTACATTCTCTTGAGTGGTCTCTAAACACAAGGCTGGTGCTAGTGAAATTGTCCAGTGAAATCCATTTTTGCTTAGATACAACCCATTTAAAATATTCATTACATCATGTCTCAACAACTACCACCCCTCTTTACAAAACAAGTATATTAAGTGTGCTTTTATTGTACATGTATCCTAAAATTCAATGCAGGAAAAGCTTAACTTAAAACCAGAACTTAGAACTTGAACTTAGCTTGGAATCAAATTCCTCTTTACATATGTAAACAACCAAATAAATTGTCTTGCCAGCCAAGGAGTTGACCAGACAAAATGTTTTACTTGATTGGATATTGTCCTTTGACCACTGCAATCAGCAAGATTTGAAGCATTGGTAAGTTTGGAGCCCAAAAGATGCACTAGAGTTGCTCTACCCAGTGCCTCAACTCTCATCTTTTCAGTGCTCTCCAAACTTCCCAAGTTCTTCATTTCTCAAACAACACATACAGCCGATACATGACCTAATTGTTTAATAACATTTTTAAGAGGCAGTTTTAGTGTTAATAATCATAAAGTGAATTCCCCTCGGCAAATCATCTGCTGGCTCAATGGGAATATAAAACACCCTTGTGTTGTTGAATTTGGTGATACAAATTAACAATGTTATCATGATAAAAAAGAAAAGTGGACAACTCCTCAAATGAACTGTTGACCATTACCAGATCATATTCCAATCAATTTGTGATAATAGAGTTGGATTACAAGAGTAAACAAAGGTATTTATTTAATAGTTTATTTTTGTATTATACATGTGGGAGCCACCTAAATTAGCTTGCAGTTTAAAATTCTTATGCTTTGAAAAGCAAGTGCCATTCCTTTATAAAAGACACACAGAATGATTATATCCTCAAGCAACAAATATCCTAACATATCAACTTAAACAGAGATAGATGAAGTCATCCACGATGGCGATACAATTTAGATTCTAAGATCAATATCATCTAGTAACTACAACAAAAGTTAAACATAGTGAAAACATATAAGAAGGACATCTTAAAAATCATCACTTTGAAAGATAAGTTTTGGTTGACTAAAACGACACAATGGAGAAATTTTTCGCAACAGAGACGGTTAAAGGATGGAAAAAAAACTTAACTCAAGCTTTTAAGAGTCCTGTGACAGCATCTCGAATTTGTTGGATTTTAACCTTATTTCTTTACCTGTGGGGCGATGGCAGGTCTTGCTATCTCTGTCCCAAGTGTTTGCACTGCCTGTAACACAAAAACAGGAAGAAGTACTCAGTCGATTACATAAAAAACGACGTTTAAACATGCATGAAACCTGTCAGAGCTATCATCACAGTTTTGGAGCTCTCTTACCATATTTTTCACATGAGTTTTGACTCCTTCGTCTAAACTCAACCATCTTTGCTGATACTGTAGTCTGACTGTAGCATCTTTGGAGGTAAGTTGATTTTTCAGTTGTAAACCAGCCGCCATTCTTGCGATTTGCGACTTCGTTGCATCGGCTAGCTCAGTCACTAGAGCTACTAAAAACTGGGGCTGTTGAGAAAATCAGACAAATATTGGTACAAATGCCAAAATGAAGCCTTGTGCAACTCGAATATATCGGTACTAAAACCTGTACATTTGTACAAATGAATGACTTTCGCCGTCTTGTAGAAAAGAGTAACTTAGGAAAACTCCCCAAACCATAAACTCACCAGATTTTGCTGGGCAGCTGATTCCAAATATGTCTGAGCCGCTTGTAGCGCATTTTGATCTACAAGATCAAACAAACAAAAATTAACTCATTACCCAACTACAACATGAAACGAACATCATGCGAGATCGCAGCCATGTGCTTCGGCTTGGCAAGAGTTCCAAGAGGGCAGTTCCGCAAAAGATCCTCCAAATTACCAATTTACTTTACCTGGAGATACTGTTGCTTCAAGAACACCTGTGAGATCCATTTTCCTAAATGAAAACGAGAGCTTTAGTCAACTCTCAACCTTGAGTTACCACCACAGACCTACGAGGGTAAATTTCAAATGGAAAGTGACTAGGGTCGTTTTCGCGCCGTCTCGATTGGGGTACCACTTATTTCCATTGTTTCCAAACCCCCTCTTAGGGAGGCACAGAACCCCAAAACGAAAGGAAAATGAAAGAAAGCAAGTAATTATGAACCCTTGATGAACTTCCGTTTCACCTTAGAGAACGAATGGAAAAAAAACAATAATAGACTCATGGCGATGGAGTTAACTGTAGCGATTAGAGAGAGGTCTTTTATTTCTCCGCGAAAAGTGAAAGGAGCGTTTTGTCGTGGAGGACCGGGAACGATGAGTTCGTCAAAATTTATTTATGTCAGCCAAGATTCCGATTTTCCGTGGATTTAAAAGAGCTAATTGTTTTCCATTTTGCCGACAGTAATAAAAAAATAATAACAAATAGATAAAAAAAAACTCAGACCGGCATTGCAAATTTTCTTTACGAGAAAAGTGAAACCCTGATAAAAACCTTTTTAAGATTTCCCGGCTATTCAACCATGAATCCACGTTGATCAAGATGTCTGTATACTTAATCCGTTTTGAGAAATAATAACAATAATGGTAATGATAATAATATAATAGGCTTGCACGATCGTGCGTGTATGCGCCCTTTGGAATAATCGTTTTGATTTTTGCACGGGAAGGGAGGGAGGTAAGTAACAAAATCCTCTCAGGGGACTGTAACTGAGACAGTGGAATACACGAGCAAGATCACACCAGAAACAACGGAGATTTCATTCACATTTTTCCATCTCTGGTATATTTGAAGCTGCATAATAACCCCTGTATCTAAAAATAAAAGTATTGTCTAGCTGCAGCATGCGCCTTTGGTTCGCTTAGGGCTTTTTCTACGAACCAAATAAATGCCAGTATCACTAAAAGTTGGCCGGCCCAGATTTTCTTGTAGAACTGGTCTTAATGCTACAATTTTTAATGTCATTTTTTACACCAAAACGTGCTGCCACTTATTAGTATTACAAGATTATAGATCTCAATCCGGCTGAACAACGCGTTCTAAAACAAACGAAAAGCAAGTGCAGAGGTCAATACTACAGTACAATGAGTCACAAGGAGACCTCAAACGAGTAACAAATCCTATTTTCAACATTCGCTACACCGCTCAACCCCAAGATTTTCAATCACGAAAAAGATCGACAATATTTTGATGAAGTAAATCGACGATTTTTACACTTGCTTTGGCTGCGCGCTAAACTAACAAAATCTTGGTGCCCAGGTCCATCTCTTCAAATCACGCGTGATGTCAAAGAGTGACGACACAAGCAGTTACCATGGAGGCATCGAGACAACAATTGAAAAAAGTTTTGCATCTCGGTTCTGTAGAGTGATTGCTCTAACAAAGTGTAACAAAAAGTTTCTGTGTTTGTCAAAAGCTTCAAATGAAGATTTCAGTTGCACACTTGGCCTTGATATTTCAGGCTAAAAATATTATGAGGATTTTGTAAAAAGGACTTTTTTGGTTCTGTTGCTTTTTCACTGAAGACAAGCATGAGCAACTGGACGCTTTGTGTGAAGTCTGGAACCTTGCTAATAATGTAGGTGTATACCTTTACGTTTAGAACTCAAGGTTTGTGCATCTTTCAATTTGCGTTCATTTGCTGATCTATTTATGTCATCCTTTTTAGAAAACAGACAGGTCGCCATACGGCCTCGAGTCTCCTTGACAAACTCCGGCAACCGCTCTCTAAAACGTCCATACAGGCCACCTCCATAGTCAGTTTCTTCAACTACGACAATTTTTCTACTTACCGAGTTCACCATCTCAAGGAAGCGTTAACTACACTCCCCTTAAAGGTGCGTGAATGAAAATTTGCCATCGCTATGGGAGAGAGCTTCACAGAAAGCACTTTTTTTTAATGATTTTGAGGAAAGCACGCCCATTTTTTCCTTTAAAGAATTTATTTTAATTGCGCTCTAAATATCTCTATTTCTAAAATGTATCTCTGCACTCGAACAGCATTTCGAGAAAATTTTGACAAACTTCATAAACTTTCCCAAAGATGCAAGAGTAAAGTAAACGGTTTCACGACAAATTTTGCCACACGTCATCAAGAAAACTGCACGTGCAACTTAGTGAACACTGTCAAGTTATCGTGAGGCAACTCCTCAACTTTCATGATAATGTATTTACTTTTTCATGCCTTGAAAAAATCAGCAAACATACTTTTTAGTCATCTCCTCACAAAAGCTTTCTCTGCTCCCTTTGACGTCATCTCTTTGCATTCTTTCTCAAAATGATCAAAATAGTTTGTCTTTCTCTGAGAGAACTCCCGTTCTTAAAAAATACCATGGTGATCTACCTTGTTAACGCAAGGCGGCTAAGTGCAAGGAATTTGTCTGGAAGGTATTCCGTTACAATTGGTCGGCCATTGCTCTTTGCAAATCTTTTTCTCTGTCCCAAGGAGGAACGAGTTTTGGAGTGTAACGCGCGACTGCGTAATTTCAAGCTTTATTCGGTCGGGTGATATTGTCAAAATGAAGAATTTCTTTCCTCGACATTTGTCAGTTTCGCTTGTACTCTTTTCATTATATTTGTTCACTACATCTCAAATGGGTGACTCTTGAGCTAAGCAGCTGTTCTAGCCCTTGTAAAGGTGCCGGTAGCCTTTCCGTCAATGTGTCATTTCACCCGCCTGAGGAATCAAATCTCTCAGGCATTCACATTCAATGAATCTTATTATCAAAACAAACTTGTTCAAATTAGTTGCTCTTTCCAAAACGACTTTTATCTTAAAATTGCATTCCTACTTAAGATCTGAGGCAAATCAGTAAAATGGGATGAGCGATTTAAAAAGTGTCCGGCACAATGTTGGTGGATTCGATGTGAAACTAAGAAAGAGATGAACAGATGTCAGTCAAATGAAGCAAGAAAAACTATTTATTCGTGGTGACTGCATAACACATAGTTTACAGAGTGGCTAATTGTCGTAGTAACTGAACATCTGCACTTCACCGAATCCGCCAAATGAGTTGGTCAAAACAGCAAATAGTAAGTACTTAGCATCATCTTAGCAAACTATTATCTCCCAGCAGGATATGATCAACGTGTAATTTTCTGCATCTCACTAAGTAATTCAGGATAATTTGGTATTATCGACTGAGTACATGATGTAAATTTGCTACCGTAGAGAGTTTTCTAAAGCTGGAGTTTCGAACGTTAGCCCTTCGTCAGAGGGAGTCAGTATAATTCCCAACATCAAAATAAGGAACAAATAAGGTATTGAAATTAGATACACAAGCTCTTGATTGGTGGCAAATTTGTCTTTTTACAATGGGCATGATCATGTATTTAAAATTTAAGCCTTGGCTATTCAGTCAAACAATGTGTGGAATCTAGAATCTTTACTTTGTGTCGGTAAAGAGTTCCAACGTCGAAACCACTGCTCCAGATTTTCCCCTTTATTTTCATCAATATCCTTGTCTTTTTTTCTGACAGGCGAAAGATGGCTCTGTTACTCAAACCAGCTAATAGTCTCGTACCCAGACCTTCAACGGCCAAGCGGTTACATTTAAGTTACAGTTACACGGTAGGATCTGAATCTGGGTACGAGATTAACCAACTAGTTCCCTGACCCACGCTGCAGATCATCCAATGGGTACTAAACTTCGTTCAAGTCATCCAAGAGCCAATCACAAGTCGCCTGAAGGCATATGATCATCATAATAACTAATTATGCAGTGTCAGACACAACGCTTAGTAATTTGCGCGTAAGTGCAGTTCATCATTAGATACCCTCATCCGGTCATCCCTCACAATATCTGCGAGTAGCACAAATCAACCACGGACAAAGGAAGCATATCAACGACGGATTTTCTAAACATCGAAAGTAAGTGAACTTAAGTACTGGGTTGCCAAGTTTTTTTACTGTGTGAAGTATAAATATTGTTGTTTGGACGTATTTTAGTGAATTCAACACTGCATTCGCTATTAACTTTAAAGCGTAATGATTTAAGTACAGCTGTTCTTCCTTTGGAAAGGAAGACAATTATAAACTAAAAAATAGACTATTCGCGTTTTCAAAATAAATTTAAAGCTGAATCGACACAAATGCATTTATTTTTTCGATTGTTTAATCAATGACTTTGATGTTGCAATATTTTGATATTGAAGAGTTCTGACCGCTTTAAAGCGAAGTCTTCGCTTAAATTTTTAGGATTTTGTTTTTCAAACAAAGTTTTTGGCCGATTGCAAAACCCGGTGGCTTTTTTTCATTTATTAATGCTTTTAGTTTTGTTGAAACACACGGTCAACTTGACATTTTTTAGAAAAGCAGAAAGTTTCCACGGTGATCAGCAATAAATTGATTACATATGAAAAAAGTTTGGGCAAACACAACCGTCTTGATAAACGTCTATCTAAAATTATCTTTTTCATTGCTCTTAATGGTAAGGAACATGTTGGACTGATTTTTAACTAAACTTTAGCGCAGTGCGAAACTTACAGTGTTCTCGCACGGTAGCTGAACATCATTACTTACGAGAGAGACAGTTTGCGACATAATCAATTTGCTTCGTCTCTTACTGGCCCGTTATTCAGTCACCAACTATTCCTCCGTCAGTCGTTGGTATACAAACGGTCGAAAGACTTTTAACAAACATTCTTTTAGGCGAGCAAGTCAATCCACTTTTCGATACTTTTCACCGTAAATTTATGCAATTACTGGTTGCCTAAGCAATTTAACTCCACAGAAAAAAGGTAATTGCAATTTCTCCGTAAGCTGATTTGGTGCAGTTCATATACAAACTAGATCCTATGAGTGGAAATGGTATTTACGCCAGCCGAAAATAAATCACAGAAGTTCATGTTTATGAATTTTTAATCTAAATCGCATACGCAATCGATTCTTCTGTTTCAAAATAACCTGTGTCACCTTTGACTTTGAATAAATGGTTCTTGCTTCGTTTCTAGACGCTTTGTATCGTTGATACGCAGTTTTGGTATTTAGCCTATGAATTGAAGATTCTGATTGAAGTTTGATTAGTTTGATCACTTTTGTCTTTGATA